GGGTAGAAGGCCAGACAGACTCTTGGGAATAGTTGTCTTCTGACATCAGAAGTGGTACACACACAAATATGCACACACATACATACATGCACACATATAAACATGCACATAGAATTAAAAACAAAAGTATTTTAAAATAAAGATACAACAATCAACTGGCTTAAAATTTTTTACATTTATTTATTTAGGGGAGGAGCACATGCATGCCTCAGCCCACACGTGTAGAGGTCAGAGGTCCTTGGGTTTGGTGTCAGGCACCTTTACCTGCAGAGCCATCTGGAAGGCTTTTATCTAAAGTGTTAAATAGTATGAAAACAAGAAAAAAAATTAACGCTTGATCTGGGGGATTTTATTTTCTTTATACTGTTTGCCACCTTCCATAACAGCAAAAACTAGAGGTTGGAATTCACTGAAACATCAACAGCAGGTCAAGAAATATTTGAGATAAAGAATTTTCAGATCATTTACTTCATAAAACATTCAATAAAATTCCCTGTACTAAAAAAATATATATATATATATTCTCCTTCTATAAGAATACTATTATGCCTAAGAAACTTGCTATTGATATAAGAATATTATCTACAAAGCATCTTTCTTGAATGTCAAATATTCCAATAATATGCTTTATAATCTCTATTTTTTTTTAAGTCTAGGATTTAGTCCAGGATCACATGAATCAGATATAATGATGCATACCTGTAATCCCAGAACATGGAGGCTGAGGCAGTAAAGGCTAGCCTGGGCTAACATACAGAGACCCTAAACAAACAAACCACATATGTTTCGTGGTCCCATCCCTTTAGTCTCTTTTAATCTAAAAAAGCACCCCTTACCTTTTTCTTGTCTTTCACAGAATATGTTTTACATATACAGTGCAATATATTATTCAGCTTTAAAAAGAGATGAAATTCTGATGCATGCTGTAACATGGATAAACTTTGGAAGCCTTAGGCCAAATGAAAAGGACAAAGATGATATGATTCCACTTAGATGAGCACAGAAACAGAAAGTAGGGTGACAGGATGAGCAGAGGGTGGGGAGTCATTGTTTAAGGTGCAGAGCTTTGGTTTGTGGGGGGAAAGTTTGGACAGGCACAGTGGCTGTGGTTGTGCAACACTGTGGTGGTACTTAATGCCACTGAACTGTCCGCTTACAAATGATTGACATTTTCACTGGACTGGGTATATAAATGTCTCAGTAGTAGAGCACTTTCCTTGCATGCACAAGAATGTGGGTTCAATCTCCAGTACTGCAAAATAAATAAAAAGTGATGAAAATGTCATTTTTACCTAGCATGGTGGGTGGGGCCTTAATCCCAGCACCCAGGAGGCAGAGGCGGCCAGATTGCCAGTGATTTCTAGGTCAGCCTGGTCTACATAGCAAATTCCAAGCCAACCTGGGCTACATAGTGAGACCATGTCACAAAACAACGAAAACCACAAAATATCAAAAAAAGAAAATCATTGTTTTTATACGTTTACAATTTTCCCAATCTCTCAGAATGACAGTGTCTGCCTTAACATGTGGTTCTGAATCTAATACATGTAATCCCAGCACTCGGGCAGCTGAGGCAGGAGGATTGAGAATGCAAGAGCAGCTTGAACTAAATCGTGAGTGGGAGGAAAAATCTGCTAAATTTGGCTGATCCTCAAAGCTGAAAACGTTTGTTTGCCTTTCCCTTTTCTTCATCCCCTAACTTCCAAGGTAGCTTGTGCTTACAACTGGAACACACCGAGTGGCGTTCACAGTTGTAAGCAACTGGGTCACGGCTCCTTTCCTGGTATTTTCAGGAACACTTTCTGAGCTGCAGGAAAAGCTGGCACTTCTCTTTCTGTCGGGTGCGACTTGAGAATTTGCCCTTGGGCTCCTCGGGTGACCTCTCCCACTTCTTTTCTCCTGTTCTTCTATCTTGGTTCCATCTTCAGGCCCACCTCCTGCCCCTCCCTCGGCTCTGCTTCCCCACCACCAGTGTGGCGGGTGTTGGGGAGTGCCCGGGTGTAACGCCCCTGGCCAGACCCCACCCAGCCCAGCTGCGTCCTGCAGGCTGGCTCCACCTGCCCAGCCGCTGCTGAAGCTGAAATACCTTGGTTTTGAAAGATCCTGCTAAAATAAGGGCAAAAAGATAAGCCTCAAACAGGAGACATTTGCAAACCAACAGTATCAGTAAAGTCTGTTTAAACTCTCAGTAACTCAAGAGAAAAACAAAGGCTCTTAAAGCAGGAGCATTTCAGAGAGGAGGGTGCAAGGATGGCAAACAAGCACAGGAAAAAGTAAGCATTCGAGAAAATGCAAATCAGAACCACAGTGAGCTATCATTACTTGCCTGTTAAGTGACTGAAATGAAAAATGATGGCAACACCAAATCCTGAGGAGGATGCAGACACTAGTGTACACCGCTGATGGGAATGTAAAATGGTATGGCCATGGGAAAACAGCCTTTCAGTTTCTTAGAAAGCGTGCCCCTTCTCCATAGGACAAGATGCAGCCATTCACAGCTAGGTATTATCAGAGGGAAGGAAGATTATGGTGTAAGAGTGAAACCACAGAGGACAAGTCAGCCTTCGGGTTGCAACAGCAAGAGGTTTATTAGTACACAGGTACCTGTGGGCACAGAGTCTCCTCGGAGGACTTGCGCGCCTCAGGTCAGGTTTGTGGAACTTTTATAGAGCAGAAGCGGGATACAGAAGCAGAAGCACGGTTATTGGTTAATTTAAACTATTACAAAATGCTACGGGGAGAGTGGGAAACTTACTTATCAGTAAGCCAGATGTCTCAACCATAAAACTTACTTATCAGTAAGCCAGATGTCTCAGCCATAAAACTTACTTATCAGTAAGTTGGAATTCTTGACCGGTATGCGACCTGCCTGAGAGACTTTATGGCGCCTGACTTTTATTTTTCAATGGGCACATGCAGACATCCGTAATAGCTATATTTATGAATAGCCCCAACCTGACAACAACAGAGTACCTTTCCACAGGTGGGTGGTTAAACTGTGCCTCATCCATACTATGGAATAGTACCCAGTGATAGAGAAGAAAACTATTCATTGCTATACACAAAACCTGATGGAGCTCCAGGTTATTATGCTGAGTGAAAAACACAATTCCCCAAACGTTTCATACACTGTGATTCCGTTTACATACTCTGTTTTCTTCTTTAAGTTTTGAGGGAGGGTCTCTTGTATCCAGGCTGTACTTGAACTCATTATATAGCTGAGGATGACCTTGAACTCCTTCCTGATCCTCCTAACTCCCCCTTCCCAGTGCTGGGATTACAGACATGAACCACCACACCTGGTTTTTACATAACGTTTTTGAAAGATAAACCATAAAGCCTAGCACACGTGAGGCAGAGGCAGGTGGATCTCTGTGAGATCAAGACCAGCCTGATCAAGATAGCAAGTTCCAGGCCAGCTGTGGCTATCACAGGGCAACAAAGAGGCTCCTTGTGACTAATGGCAGTACTCTGCTCTTGACTGTAACCTGGTTGTGATTCTGTACTGTAATTTTGGGAAATGTTGCTATTAATAGACACTGGGTAAGGCAGGTGTGATGGTGTATACCCAGCACCTGAAAGGCAGAGGCAGGAGAATTTTCTATTTGAGACCAACCTGGGCTACATAAGAAGACCCTCTCTCTCAACTAAAAAACAAAGCTTTTCTGGATATTTCCATATTATTTGTTAACAATTGCACATAAATCTAAGATTATCTCAAAATAGTTTAATTAAAAGGTAGAGAATGATTGCTAAAGGTAGCATGCACCCTGGACTGGATCTCAGTATAATGAAATAGTATTAGTGGTTAAAAAAAAATTAGATACTGTGTGCACTGATACAGAAAGATGCTTTAGATATATAACAAGTTTTCTTTCCTTCTTTCTTTCTTTCTTTCTTTCTTTCTTTCTTTCTTTCTTTCTTTCTTTCTTTCATTTCAGACAGGGTTTCATGTAATCCAGGCAGGCCTCAAACTTGGTATGTAGCTGAGGATGACCTTGAACTCCTGATCCTCCTGTCTCTACTTCAAGGCCTGCATCATAATGGTCAAGTTTATTTGATTCTGGGAGGGGAAGCCAAAGCTTTGAGCATGCTACACACTGAACTACAGTCCAGCCCCAAAATATACTGTAAATTGTAAAACCTAGTTGAGCTATGTATGGTGGTACACACCTTGATACCAGGATTTAGGAGGCGGAGGCAAGAGGATATCTAGTCCAAGGCCAGGTTGGGCTAAATCTCAAGATCTTGTCTCAAAAAAACTAAAAAAAGGGCTAGTTAAGGGCTGGGAATGTAGTTCAGTGGTAGAGTACTGGTCTAGCGTCCAAAGGCCCTGGGTTCTATATCCAGAATCTCAATTAGACACACACACACACACACACACACACACACACACACACACACAGAGTGTGGCAGCGCATGCCTTTAATCCCAGCACTCAGAGGCAGAGGCAGGGGGATCTCCGTGAGTTTAAGGCCAGTCTGGTCTATATAGTTGAGCTCCAGACCAGAGGGACCCTGACTCAAAAAAAAAAAAAAAAATAAAGCTGGACCACTAAGAATGATCATGTCTGTGATAAAATTGCAGTGGCCATATAAGTTTATAAGATAACCATGTATTATACATGGCTAGTTCAATCAAACGTTTCTACAAAAACTAGTGATCTTCTCTAGAGGGGAACACAGGGGAGAAGGGGAAAATCTACTGATCTCTTTACATGTATATCCATAAGTTTACGTTAAATTTATACTTTAAAGTTTTTTAGGTTCATTTTTATTTTTTAATTTATTTGTATTTTTTTAGGTATATGAGTGTTTTGCCTGAATGTGTGTAACTGTACCCATGTGTGCAATGCCCACAGAAGCCAGAAGAGGCATTGGATCCCCTGGAACTACAGAGTTACAGTTACAGATGGTTGTTAGCCACCATGTGGGTGCTGGGAGTCAAACCTGGATCCTCTGCACGAGCAGCCAGTGCTCTTCAACCACTTTTAGCTTTGCGAGGGAGAGCATGAGCACAGTCCCCACAGTCACAAATTCAGAAGTTGAGTTTCCCACATCTGGGGAAGTTCTAGGGGTCAGGTCCCCCAGAGTGCAGTGAATAAGCCTGGCCTTGGGAAAACTACCAATGTGATCATGGTGTCTCCTTATCAGGTAAGTATACATTTGTAATTTTAAATATTATTATGCTCCCCTCTGGTTATACATACAACAAGCTCAAGTGTAGGGCCACTCCCTCTCCTCATGGGTCATTGGCCACCACTCCACGAGGACAAAGGGAGGAGAAGCTACGAGCAGGGTCAGGATGGTCCAGTGAGCACTGACGGAAGAAAGCCCTTCAAGGGAGGCAGGTTCAATGATGCAAACAGCTCCAGACTCAGTGAAACAGCTCCGTTTATTCAGTGGGATGTTAGGGGAAAATATAGTGTGGGGGCAGTAGCCAGTGCTGCAGCTGATAGGTGCTCATAGTATGCTTTATTTACATGTGGCAGTGGGATCCTATCATTCAACTATCAGGCAATACCTAATTATCATATAGAAAAAACCTGGGGGTAGTTTTTACTCCGGGTAACTATGCCAAAGGTCGTGTTCCAAATAAGGTCGGGCATCTGTGCTTGGCGGCACTTTCCAGGTAAGTCAGGAAGAGAGCAGGACGCCCCCTGCTGAGAAGGGTCATCCTTCCATATGGCACCGAGCCCCTTAGAGCTATCCGGACATGGAGGACTACAACCCTAGCAGCAGGGTTCCCCAACACTCAAGGAATATAATACATGTCTAGTCAAGGTTTATCTGACAATGTTTGGCCTTTTCCCAAGCTTTATTTGTGTAGCACGTGGTAATTAAAAGTACCAGGCTGGTGGAACTAACCTTCTTGGATGTTTAACAACCATACTTTGAGGCCTATACTAATTTGGTCAGAGGGACATAAAGGACAGTTTTGCTCCTTGCCCTCCTTGGTGGACTTGTTCCAGGGGACTAGGAGCATCTCTCAAAATGTCCTGTAATTGTGGTGGGTTACCTGTCCTCTTGATCAAGGAGGCTGTGGAGATACCCTCCCCCAAGATGGACTTGAACCAGTGTCCAGTCTACAGATAGGAAGGTTAACACAGAGGAATCATATCCTCCATGCTTCCAAGTGAAGCCACCCAGGATCGAGCAGGACCTTACTTATCTTCACATAGACAGAACTGGTAAAAGAAAGGAGCCAGGGGCTCCTCCCAAGCCCATGTGACCCCTGAGGAACAGATCCTCAGCCTTAAGAATAAAATTAAATTGGTTTATCTGGGCCAACTGTAGGGTCTTAAACACCCAAAAGGAAAGTATAACCAAAGATTAAAGGGGACAATATAATTGTCTAAGAGGAGTCCATATGTATAGCTAAAGGCTGCATAACAAGAAACAATGCCAGACAGGAGATACCTTCCTTTGAGTTGTTGACCAGAGTGGCCCAAGAGACTCCCAGACAGTAACCCAACATAGAACTGGGAAAATGAACAGCAGACCCCAATCTTTTCTAAAGGAATATTGACAACTGATTGCTGCTAGATGAGGAACATCTGATCTTCCTAAAACAAGGATCTCTAGATAGGCTGACTAGATTCAGCAGATGGACAAGCACTGGGAAATGGCTGGGGAGACTGAGAACACACTGGACAGTAACAGGGATGACAGAGTATATGGGCTCCAGTGGGGGGGGAGGGGGCTATGGGAGGGTGCCATTTGGGAAGTGGGTATATAGATGAATAAGATCATTTGGGATGTTCTGTATGATATACACACAAAAAAACTCAACAAATAAAAAAATGAGTTATATTTGAGGAGGAAGCATAAAATTTTACTTCATGTTAATTAGTAGAGGTGATAAACATTACCACTGAAATCTACCTGATGACTTTATATTCATACTCAGGTGCCAAGGATCCAAGTGTAACGGACTATGACTAGTAATAATCAGATGCATAGAGATTACAGATGCATGTGCAAACATCTAAGTGTTAGGAGCATTAAAAACAAGTCTTTCTGTAGGAAACAATATTTAAAATGAAATGGAGATCTTTTCCAAAGGTTAAAATCTCATTCAATTTTATGTCTTACAGGGTTTGTACTGTGTTTAATACTGTATAACTGTATTAATTCAACTGTGAACCTAAAAATTTACAGTCACTTTTGAAAGATGTATCTTTGTTCTGGAAATTGTTATTGAATATGTTAAAGCTGTAATGAAATGCTTCTAATCATGTGGTTATTAAATAAAAAAATTATTATTACTGTTTATTGTTCCAAGCAAATGTAATGAATATCCTGCTTAGTACAAAAAATGTTATTGTATGATTTTTTTTTAATTATAAAAGTATGACCTTTAAGGCCAGGTGTGGTGGCACATGCCTTTGATCCCAGCACTCAGGAGGCAGAGACAGGCAGATCTTTGTGAGTTCAAGACCAGCCAGGTCTACATAATAATGAGTTCCAGTCCAGCTGGGACTATAGGGAGACCCTGTCTCAAAAAGACCAGGATTTTTAAGAAAAAGTATGACTTTTAGCAAATGACTAATAATAGGCTTCCTTAAAAATGATTTATCAGGGCTAGAGAAATGGCTCAGTGGTTAAGAGCACTTGCTGCACAAACATCAAAACTGGAGTTTAGATTCCAGCACCCATGAAACAAGCCTGGTGTCCCTCAAGCACCCGTATTTCTAGCTCTGAGGGACCAAATGCCCTCTTCTGTCTGTGCACCTGCATACATGTGTACTTAGACACAAACACACACACACACACACATACACACAAATAAATGAAATATGTTTAAAATATATTTTATTACACTTTTTGAGAATTTCATACAATGTATTTTGATCATAATTTACTCTTACTCTCCCCCAATAAAACTGTAAAAAAAAAAACCAGAAAGTAAAAATAATAAACATAACCTGTCCTTATCAGTTGTGATGATACACCCCTTTAATCTTAGCACTTAGGAAGCAAAGGCAGGAGGATTACTGCAAGTTGGAGGGTAGGCAAGGTACATAGGGAGACCATGTCTCAAAAAGCCAATAACACAGGCTGGAGAGATGACTCAGCAGTTAAGAGCACTGGTTGATCTTGCAGAGGACCCAGGTTTGGTTCCCAGCATCTACATGGCAGCTCACAACCATTTGTAACTCTAGTTCCGGGGATCTGACACCCTCTTCTGACCTCTTTGGGCACTGCATGTACATGGTGTGCTTACATATGTGCATGCAGACAAAACACTCATATGCATAAAACATAAAAACAAAAATTTAAAAACCCACAAATAATAAAATTTAAGGGGCTGAAAGTATAGCTCAGTAGTGGAGTGCTTGTGCATATGGCACCATGTTCAATAATAAACGTGCGTACACAGACACACAGACAGACACACACATTTGTCCTAATGTTCCTGCTTCTAAAAAAAGATTTATTGCCTGGTGTGGTGATGAATGCCTTTAGTCCCAGCACTCAGGAGGCAGAGGCAGGGGGATCTCTGTGAGATCCAGGTTAGCCTGGTCTACATAGCAAGTGTCAGGTCAGCTGGAGCTACAGGGAGACCCTGTCTCAAAAATAACAACAACAACAAAAAGATTTATTTTTATTTTCTTTATGTATGTGTGTCTGTGTGTGAGTGAATGAGACATGTGTACAGGTGCCCACAGAGGCCAGAAAATGGTGTCCTATCCCTTGGAGCTAGAGTTACAGGCAGTTGTGAGCTGCCAAGTGGGGTGGCTGAGCACTGAACTTGGGTCCTCTGGACGAGTAGAGGGTACTTGTTTTCGAAGTTACCTTTAACTGCTCATGCCTCCAGCCCGTGGCCCTACTTCTTTGAGGAACAAAACAGTGTGAGAGAATGGCTCCTCCTGTGCAGGCTTTCCTCAGATGCTTTGTTAGCATCATTTCTGCAGTTGAGAACTTCGTGAGTTTACCAGACCTAAAGCTGAGCTTGGATCAGGAGCTCAGTGTGTCTTAAATGCAGCCTCTCCAGCCATGGCTGAAGGGCAATATATATAGAAGTGACATAGTCACTCTTCAATTATTTGGTTCCTATGACTTACTGTATCTAAGTGCTGACTCATTTACTTAACTTGTCTAAGCAAATTATAGCTATGAATTACAATTTGTATTTACTTAGCTTCAATAAAACCATAGATTATATTTTTCTACTGCTAATTAAATAATTCTATAACTACTTTAATACTGTGTAATGATATATCCTCCATCTGAAATCTGCCTGTTTGGGGTACAACAGTACAGACAAACTGTTCTACAGAATCTGTAGTCAGTAGCCAGGTCATGGTACAGACAAATGTAGTTTTGTTTGTTTGTTTTTTAATCACATTCAAAAAATTTTTTCTTTCTTTTTTATTAGTTATTTGAAAATTTCATATACTGTATTTTGATCATAGTCACCCTCTACTCCTCCAACTTCTCCCAGGTCTACCCCTCCCCCAACTTCTCTGTTCACCTGACTTCGTGTCCTTGTTTTTTCTCAAACCCATGGAGTCCAGTTCATGCTGCCCATATACTCTTGGGTGTGTGGCCATCCAGTGGAGTGTGGGCCACTGTAGGAATGACTTTTTAAATTTATTTTTTTAGTTTATGTGTATGTGTCTACTGCCTGCATGTAGGTAAGTGCACCTGTGTCATGCAATGCCCGCAGAGGACAGAAGAGGCCGTCAGATCCCCTGGAACTGGAGTTACAGACAGTTGTTAGCTGCCATGTGGGTGCTGGGATTCGAACCCAGGTCTTCTGCAAGAACAGCCACTGTTCTTAACCGCTGAGCCATCTCTCCAGCCCCAGGAATGACTTTTACAATATGAACACAATCTAGACTAAAGATTTTTACCTAACTTTGTAATCAAAAAGTTACTGTTTATAATGTAAACAAGCTCACTGAGCTGTGGGCCTTTCTTGTGACCTGGGCATATGACCTTAATCATTCCTTGCCCTCCACACAAGATAGTGAATGTATGTATGTATACATGCTGTACATATCAAAATGCTGAAAACATCATGTAAACAATGAGAAAAAAAACGTGTGTGTGATATTCTAGGTTTAGGAATCCAAGGACAAGAGATTCTCTAATAAGATAAAGGTGAGTTCTGATTTCTATTTCTCCATCTTCTGTTGGAAATACTGTTTCAATA